ACACCTGCACAAATCATCCTGATCATAATCTATACTATTATAATAAAGCGTAAACACACTTTGTTGCCTAACATGTCAGCAATTACACCATATTTTTAAATAGTTCTTTCTTTAATTAAAATCCTTACACTTACTTCACGCTTTAGGCGTATTTTCACAATATTAAACTCAGGGGGTAAATATTTTGGATAAAAATCGTAATGTGGGAAAGAGACCATAAGTTGCTGCCAACATCAAGAAAGCAATTGTTATTTGTACATTTAAATTTTGACATTTCATGCGGATGAAGCCGTACTGGAACAGCTACTAATATTATAAATGTGAAAGGTTAGATGGATGGTTGTTTGTTAGAGTTTATAGCCTCAACAGCTTATCGGATTTCGATGAAATTTGGTACAGATGTAGACCATAGTCTGGAAGAACTCATAGGCTGCTTTTGTTTTTTTTTTAATCCCGCGCGGACGGAGTCGCGGGCGAAAGCTAGTAATTTATTATGATTATAAATGCATAAGTAATATTATAAATGTGGAACTTTAGATGGATAGATGTTACGAGTTTGTAGCAGCTGCTGAACGGATCTCTATAAAATTTAGTACAAATGTCGAGTATAGTCTGGAAGAACACATTGGCTTTATTTTGACACTCTTGGTTTTTTTTCAAATCCGCGCGGACGGAGTGTCGGGAAAAAGCCAGTTGTTTATAATATAATTAAACAGGTCTCACAAAGTTATTTAACAAAAGATAAAGCTTATTTTAATTTTGTAAAATGTTACAAGGACATGAGGTGGCACTAAACTTGACAACTGATATAGTACCTTTCAAAGAAGTTACCGGTAAAAAAATATTACCTATGTCTAGTCAATATATTTCTTAAATGTCTTTGAATATACTGTATCTATACTAATATAAAGAGGAAAGATTTGTATCTTTGAATGTATTGAATTAACTCAAAAACTACTGGGACGATCTCAAAAATTCTTTCATCATTAGAAAGGTCATTTTTATGTAAACAACATAGGCTATGTTTTTTATTATTATTTTAATTTCACGTGGGCGAAGTCGCGAGCAGAAGCTAGTAGATATATAAGTACAGAAGAAGTTTGGGAGATAAAATCAGATTCATTTACATTAAATGGCTTGTAGTAAAAATCTACAAGATTTCTTTATCAAGTTCCAGAGAGTTCCAGAAAATAAATATTTAGTATGACAATGTAAGGGGTAAATACTAACAGTGTATCTGCAGTCCTGGAAGAGCACCGGGAAGTGGAAGCTGGCGTCAGGCAACTCCTGCAGCGAGCAGTGCACCAGCGTCTCGTCCAGGTCCAGCACCTGCAGTACCAGATACCAGGGCGTCAGCTCTTGCTCTTACAAAAACATTATGTAATATGATTTGATGTCAAGTGATATGATGCAATGAAATGTGATGTGATGTGATATGTTATTATTTGATGTGTTATTAAGATATCTACAAGAGGTTATTGTTGAAATTAAATTTAAAATTTACATTATGTGTTCAATAAAAAAAAAACATTATTTCTACTTTCTATTCTATTTCTGTTCTATTCTTTCTATTTTCTACTGTTTATACTGTTATTATTTTTTTATGTGTCGTGTAAACTTATAATTAGGAAAAAATATTTTCATACTAATTGTATTGTGTGAAAAAATGCAGTGTTATTATTTTGTCCTGTTGGTTTATATGAATAAATAAATATAAAGTGATATAATATGTAATGTGGTGTGATGTGATGTGATGTGATGTGATGTGATACTCACCAGACTGAAGTCCGGGCTGGTCCTGGTCTTGAGCGGCAGCGCGGGGCAGCGCGCCCGCAGCGCACGTGTCGATACACTCTCTAACGGCGGCAGCTGACAAATATATAATACATTAACTTACGAATAATGATATTTTTTTAATATACAGATACGGCAATAAATATATATACTAATAGTAGCTTTTGTCCGCGACTCCGTTCCCATGGGGAAAAAAACCAGTACTAGTGTATTGAATTGAGCAGTTCAGGCTACAAACTCTAACAAACATCCATCCATCTAAACTTTCGCATTTATAACACAAGTAATATTAAAAAAGGAAAGATTTGTATTATTGTATGTATAGAAATAATCCAAAAACTATGGGGCTGATTTAAAAATTTCATTAACAAATTAAAAGCTATTTTATTGACCGACTTCACAAATGGAGGTACCTAATTCTTATGTATGTTTTTTTTATGTGTGTTAACCATAGCTCCGCCGCTAGTAGACCGATTTTGATAATTCTTTTGTATCCGAAAGGTAATGCTTGCAGATGGGTCCCATTTTTTTGTTAGATTTTTATCATAGTTATATAGGTCATATATTTTACTATTTTTTTAATTCTATGTTTACGTATTCGCAAGAAATAGCTAAAGATAAGTAAAAAATATAAAAAAATTACCTGTTTGATGAATAAATATGGATCAAAAGCGTCCACCCAGGAGGATATTTGGTCGCAGTCGACGCGGCTGCTGCAAGATATTACATCCAGACTCTCCTCCTGGCAAGAAAACCATAATGTAAATACACTTTACACAGCTAAAAACAAACTATTTATATAAAAAATCAGACAAATTGATAGCTTCCTTTTTTAGGAAGTCAGTACAAAAAAGGTATAGTAGAAAAATGTCCTATATTTAGTTACTTGTTTATTAACTTGTTACAGTAGAATATGGTAGCCAATTTGTTAGTTTTTCAAAACTAAATGAACATACATAAATTTAATAATAATAAAACTTCATTTCGAGGAAATCTCATATTTTGTTAGTAAAAAGGCTTATTGACTAGTGTTAGTGAGTAATCCTATTTATGAGAGAAAACAATTTTATTTAAACTTTTATGGCTTTTACAAATATAATGTTTGTATACTGTGAGATGATTTTTTTTTAATTTGATGATTTTTTTTAATTTGAAGTTATAACGAAAGTTCGGGAGCTACAACAACCCAATCATGGTAAGAAACCCATATCTTATTAACATATTACCAAATGAAAACTAGAATATCTAGTAAAAAAAAAAATTAAGACATAAAAAAGCTTACCTCCACATTAGCTG